AGCACGGCCCCAGCTCCCCGCACACGCTCCATGCCCAGCGCCGGACAGCTGCTGACAGCCCAAAACCAGCCGGGCGGGTCCTTTTTGGGGCTTTTTGGGCGCGCTCGGATTGGCTGAGGGCGCAAAGCCAGGGGACGGTTTCGGGCCCCGTTGGAGCCTGTTCTTCCCGGCGACTGATGAGTCATCAGCGCGGCGCGCTGGGATTGGGCGCGGGCGGCGAGGGCGCTTCGGGATTGGCTGAGGGCCTTTGGGGGCGTGTCCAAGCCCCTCTTTGCCGATATTTTGGGGTCTGGGGGTGATCCAACCCCTCTGTCTCTCGGATTTTGACGGTCTAGGAGAGCCCATACTCCTGTGTTCCCAAGATTTTTTGGGTCTGAATGTCCCCAACCCCTTTTTTCCTGTGTTTTTTAGATGCTGATGGTGCCCAAACTGCTCTTTTAGAAGATTTGAGGAACTGGGAGTGCCCAACCCCCTGTTCGCACAAATTTAGGGGTCTGGGAGTAAATAACCCCCTCTTTTCCAGGATTTTTGTAGTTCTGGGACAGCCCAACTGCCCCTGGACCTGGTTTATTGGGAGGCTGACATTGCCCAAACCCCCCTGTTCCCAGGATTTTCAGAGTCTGGGTGTGTCCAAACTAAGTTTCTCCAGGATTTATAATGTCTGGGATGTCCAAACCCCCCCTGTTCCCAGGAGTCTTAGGGTCTGGGAGTATCTACGTCCCTCTTTTCCAATATTTTGGGGTCTGACAGTGCCCCAAACCCTGGTTCGTGGAACTTTTAGGGTATAGGAGAGCCCATACACACCTGCTCACAAGATTTTGGGCTCTGAATGTTCCCAACCCCCCTGTTCCTATGATTTTGGGGCTCTGGGAGTGTCCAGACCCCTCATTCCCAGGATTTTTAGGGTCTGGATGTGCCCAAAGTATCATTCTCCAGGATTTTTAATGTCTGAGAGTATCCAAACCCCCCCTGTTCCCAGGACTTCTGCAGTCTGGGAGTGTCCACATCCCTCTTTGGTGATATTTCGGGGTCGGGGAGTGTCCAAATCCTCCCGTTCCCAGGATTTTTGAAGCTCCCCCACTTCTCCCCAGTCACCAGGAGTGCAGAGAACTGGGAAGCTTCACCGTGTGCGGGGAGCTGGGGATGGGCTGATGTCCCACATCCTCCTTTTCCCCACCTTTCCAACCTCTCCCACCCCTTTCCCATCACTCCCCACTCCCCATTCCCATCTCGCCCTGTCCAATTTTGGGGGTCCCACTCCCCTCCCACTGAATTTGGGATTCCCAGCACCTCTGTGACGGGGTTTAGGGGGGTCCTGGCACCTCTGGGGTGCGCTGGGTGCCCTGTTGGGGTGCAGATGCCCACACAACCCCCCCCCCCATTCCCGATCCATCCTGGGGCCGGTTCTGCCCCCCTCAAAACCTGCTCCCCCCGTGGTCACCCCCAGCCCCTTCTCTCCAGTAAACAGGACTGCAGAGCACTGAGAAGCTTTACTGGGAACACTGGGAACAGCTGGTTAGTGCGGGAAGAAATGCAGGGAAGGGGGGGACAGGCGACCCCCCCAGATGAGCGCAGGGTTTGGGGGATCCAGGGGGGTCCCGAGGCCACGGGGAGGGGCTGCG